GCCGAAGGGTCTGGTCACTTAGCATGTCCTTCTTTACAAAAGGAGAAATTGAGGCCGGGGTGTTGGCGGCAAAGCCAGAGGAACCGAGCCTGGGCAACTTGAGCCAACGATGGTGTGTGACCCAGAGGATGACGTCACAGGACCGGAGGAGGCAGGAGGAGGGACTCAGGAGGGGCCAAGAGCCAGCGAAGAGCATAGGACAAGGCACCAGTGGCCGCAGCAGGGGCCTCGGGGCAGAGGTCGCCGAGGAGGCATTCGCTGTTTTGTTTTGTTTTTTAACTCAATGACTGTTTATTGAGCACCCGCCACGGAGCCACCGCCGTCCCGCCGGGACACCGGGGGGCAACCTGCTGGGAGCGTTGGGTGCCCCCACCACACGGGCTGGGTGGTTGCCTCTTGCAGGCGCCTTGACCAGAGGGGGAGCCTGCCCCCTCGGCGCTTCGGGACGACGCTGCAACCAACCGAGCGGCCCGGCTGGGGCCGGACTCGGATCTGAAGGGAAGAGAAGAAGGTGTTTTCTAAAGAACATGGGTGAATTTTAGTAGCTCACCGAGTGAGTAGTGGCACCGTGTGGCGGGGGCCGACGACATTCAGTAGGAGGGCAGAGAGTGTTACCCTGAGTTCTTCCCGAAGAGGGGGGAGGCCCACTGCACAGAGAAGGGGGTTCAGGGCATGCGCGAGGCCGCTTTTCCAGCTCCAGTGAAAGCCCGCGCGCTTGGCGAGCTGCACAGGGGGCGCCTGGGCCGCAGGGGGGCCGGCGACGGAGCGAAGCCCCCGCCGGAGATGCCTGGCCTCTGCGTCCGCCCCACTCGGTCTCCTGTGTCTCTCGTGAAGTCAGTGGGGAACTTGCAGCAGGTTTGGGGGGCTCCCCGTGGCAGGCCATGAGCCGCTGTGGACTGGGAGCCTTCTCTTCCCTGTCCCTGGGATCACGCCACCGCCCCCGGCACACATCGGGCTCGGGAAATGCTCGATGGACGGCCGGTGACTGGGCAGAGGGCTTGGGGGCGGAGGGGGCCACGCCTTGTATTTTAGAAGTAAAACTCCCCCCTTTTCAGCCTCAGCCACTGGCGAGGCCCCTGAGACCCTCTGTGACCACTTACAGGCGCTGCCTGAAAGCGATACCTGGGCATCATTAATTCAGCCTCCTCATTACATCTTCAGTGGCGCCCGGCGGGCATCACGCTCAGCGGAGGCGGCTCTGGAGCCCGTCCAGCGCTGTCCCTGCAGTCGCGGGGGCGCACGTTCCGCAGCGGCGCTCGGAGCGCGTCTTCCCTGGAAGGCCTCCAGCGCGCTCCGCGCTCCCCTGGAAGGAGTTCAGGCCGTCTGGAGGGGCCGATAGCTGCGAAGGACGCTCCTGCCTCGCCTGCGGCCAAGCACCGCTCCCCTCCTCCCTCCTGCAGGGGAGATTTGTGGGAACCTGACTAGCGGCAGAGAGAGAAGCCTGCACATCAGGGCCTCGGTCTGGGAGCACTCGCTCCTTCATTATTCATTCCGCAAACGTTTACCGGGCCCTTCCTCGGGGTCGGTGCCGCGACATGGAGGTCTGACGGTGAACAAAACGATGCCTTCGCTCCCACGGTGCTCGCCTTTGAGGAGGAGGAGGCCGGGGAGGCACCCAACACAGACGAGCGCATGTCGCGCTGCGTGTTGGTTCCGATAAAGCGGCGCGGCGAACTGAGGGCGACCGGGAATGCATGCAGCGCCGGGGCCTCGGGGCATCGGGGGAGCGGGTCCCAAGGCACAGAGGTCCGGGAAGCATGGGGTCTCTGAGCCGCAGCAGGGAAACCGGAGCCGGGGAATGGAGAGAAGAGGGTGGAGAGAACAGCAGGTTCCTGGGGCGCGGACATCGTACTGGCGGGACTCGGGAGGGGGCCTCGCGAACCCTTCTCCCTGCCCTGGCATGGTGGGCGGGGGTGTGATGTCTCATCCTAGCCAATCAGATGGCCCCACTCGGCACTTTGCTGGGCTGGAGATGCAAAGAGCAGGGACGGGCGAAAACTCCGTCTGGCGTCCGCCGGGTGTCCTGTCCGGCGCTGGTCTGCCCGAGGCTCCCGTCTGGAAACTTTCCTCGGCCCTCACCTACTTCCCACCGCCTTTCCCCGAGGAATGTTGAGGCGTCTGTTCCGTCCCGTGTGGCGTCACTACAAGGAGTTGGTCACCTCTTGCTCTCCCTCTCAGGGCACACGGATCCGCTTCAGCACCGCGGTCAGTTCCCAGCGATCGCTGTCCCCTGAGCAGACAGGTGCGTCCCCGCGAGGGTCTGAAGGAGCTGTTCCCAGAGAGGCCTGCGTCCTTCGCTTACGAAACAGGACGTGGAACCCAGCCGGGCCCAAACCGTTCCGCCCCCCTGGCGTGGCAGCCGTCCCGTAGGGGAGATTTCTCGTCTTGTTAGTCTCGCTTCTCTCCGCAGGCGTGGGGCTGGCAGCAGCGGGTGGCGACTTGGGCGCTGAGCTCCCTGACGGGCTGTAGTGGGGGGCGGGGAAGCCCTCGCGGCCCCTCAACGCACCCCCAGCCTCCGTTCATTTCCAAGACCAAATCCAGTAGCAACGAGGCTTGGTGAGTTGGGTTTCAAGTGCCCCAGATTTTATTGTGGCTGTTGGCGGAATTTATTTGCTTTTCTTGGACCACGTTTGGAAAAAAAAAAAAAAAAATTTACTGCAATCACTCTACACTATTGATGTAGCAAGTGGTCACCCTGGGCCGATCTCCACAGCCACGCGAGGGTCCAAATCCCTGGACACACGCCTGCTCTCCTGCGTCCCCTCTGCCGGCAGTGCCGTCCCTGGACAGCGGTGGCGTGTCTGCCCCGTCGGGTGGCAGCCCTGAGTGAGCCCCAGTTCACAGGGAGCGGCACAGCGCCCGCATCGCTCCCGGGGCTCGTGCGCAGGGGGCGCCTGGACCGGCCCCCAAGGGACATGTTGTGAAGGCGGCGTGAGGTGGACGGGAGAACGAAGCCGGTCAAGTCCTGCGAGAGACCCGCCGCGCCCGTCGGAGATGCTGGCGAGGGCCGAGCTCTGTTCTCCGTGTGAGGCTGATCCCTCGTTGGTTTCCTCCTCAGTCGAACCCTGTGGAAAAGGGGGGAGCCGTATCCCCGCCCCCGCCTCGCAAGTCGGGAGAAGGAGGCGGCGGCCCCGGCGCTCCCCCTCAGTGTCCGAGGCAGAGCGTCCCCCCGGCCTCCGCCCTCTCCCTGCGAGGGGCGCCAGGCCTCCGGAAACCCCACTCCTCCGGGTGCTCGCCACCTGAGGAGGGCGCAAGGCTCGCCGCGCCGGGCCGGGGGGAGGACGGCCCCATCACCTCCCGCTCCCGCGGCTGAGTGAGGGGACGGGGAGGGATGGGCGCCGGGCAGCTGAGGAGGCCCCAGGCCCGAGTGGATGCGTGGCTCACTGGTCAGCCCCCAGCAAAGGACAGGGTCCCTCCGCAATGTGTCCCGGCCGCAGCAGCCCACGCGCAGGGCACGGTGTTTCGGTGCATGTGGTGTCTCTCTCCTTATGCGCTGGATTCCCCTGGACGCAGCGGCCTTCCCGGTGGGTGCCCGCTGAGATATGGCGGCTGCCGATGCCGCCCTGCAACCACACTGGGCGCCCGGGGGGTGCTGGGCCCCGCTGGGTGCCTGGGAAGCCCGCCCTCCACCCCCCTTCCCTCCAGCGCCGATTCTTTGAGACAGCAGATCCAGAAGCTCCCTCGGCGGCCCCTTCCCTGACCCCCTGACCGATGGCCCGTGGCTGCCGCAGAGGCCCCCGCGTCATCGACACTCCGGGCTGCTCATCGCCCGACACGTTACTCAGCCCGGTCCTGGGACAGGAAAGCAGCCCCAGACCAAATGCCAGCGGGGGCAGGGCTGGGCCCCCAGGGCCCCCGAGGCAGCGGCAGGCGGGTGGGTGCGGCTCCCAGAGCCCCGTTCCGGGAAACTCGCCGGGCGTCTTGGGATCCTATGACCGCCCCCCTGGCTGTCACAGAGGAGGTCGCCGGGCACACAGGACTGGGCGTCGGGATCCGCGGCCGCCCACCGCCTCTGCCGCCAGCCCACTGTGTGGCTGCGGCCGGCCACTTCCCCCCGCCCGGGCCGGAATGTCACCGTCTAAAAGAAAAATGAGGTATGGGGACGGGCAGCGGGTCCCCAAGCCACAGCCTTGCTGGAGAAAGCGCGCTAGGAACACACGTCTCCGGCCCCCCTCGGGCAGAGGGCGTTGGTCCGGGTGCTTAATGGCTGACAACAGAGTCCCTTGCGCCAAAAGGCCCCTGGGAGCAGAAGGGGTTTCATTAGAAGCTACAAGGCGGCTCTGCGGCCACGCCCAGGACGAGGCGTCCAGGTAAACCGCGGACAGGAGCCCGGCCAACGCCGCGGGCGCCGCTGCAGCGGGCAGGCCCTTGCTCGGGGGCTGGCGTGAGCATCGGGGGCCGGGACGCATGAAGCACCACCAGGCTGCCCCAGAAGGGCCAGGGGACCCTGACTCCCTCTCCAGCTCCGCTCCGTCGCCCACTCAAACCCCCGAGGCCCCCAGGAGCAGCTGTGTCAGCCGGAACCCCGCTGCACGCCTGCCTCCAGCCGCAAGGCAGCCCGGATGTGTCCTTGTAGGCCCTGGGTCTTTCCCGGGGGAGCCGGGGAAAGAGCCGCCAGCAGCATCTGCATGGAGTCGACCCGAATGGGGGTCCCCCCAGTTCAGAGGTCAGCCAGGCTCGCGCAGCGAGGGTGAGGCCACCGGTGAGCTCCCTGTCTGAAGAGCTGGTACAAGCCCATGAGAGAGACTCGTCAGTACACCCGCTGGTCGGCTGCTCCGCGCTGAAGGCTCTTTGCCCCTCCCCTTGACCTGTGGGTGCTGCGCCGCCCCAGCTGCCCGCGCCCCTGCCTTGCGTGGGTGCCAGGTCGCAGGCACCGCCCCCTGGCAGGTGTGCCCTTTGTCTGTCTGTTTTAGCCACAGCGGCAGCCAGCAGGGCGGCGGGCGGGGGGGCCTCCCACAGAACGAGGTCAGCGCACAGCCCTCCCTCTCGCTCTCTTGCAGAGACGGCAGTTTGTTCCACGAGGTCATGCAGATGAACTTCGAGATCGCCAGCTTCAGCAGCCTGTCGGGCACGCATCCCATCGCCTGGCAGGCCGAGTACCCGCGCAAGGGGGCCACGGAGGTCGCTGCCTCTGAGATCTTCGTCAGCCAGCAGGACCTGGTTGCCATCGTCCCCTTAGCCATGGTAAGACCCGGGGCTCGCGGGGTCGCCTGCGTGTCGCCGACGGCGTGCTCATGACCTTCCTCTCGCCCCCAGGCTGGCCGCTGCCCTTGCTGTGTGGGGCGTTGGCATGACACTTTCCACCTTCCCCCGACCCGGAAAGGCGCCGCATTTCATTCGTCCCGTCTTTCTCAACTTTCGGTTATTTCATACCGGCCTCATGACGTTTGCCGTGTCTCATGCCAAGTTTCTTACTATTTACTTACTTTCTCTTCTCTCAGTCTGTTTCAGTTCTTTTTTATAAGGAGACTAGGCTACTGTGTCTATTAGTCAGGAGACATATGCTTTTGCTGCTGTAACAAACAACCCCAGAAGCTCAGGCACCTAATGCAACATAGTTACTCTTGCTTATGTGGCTTGGCTTAGACATAGGGGCCCCTCAGCGCCCTGGGCTGATGGATACATTGTCACCTGGTCGCTCCTACATCGGGACCTCCTTGGTCTCCCTGACCGAGAAATAAACCGTTGAAGAGTCACATGCAAAGCCTTCTAAAGAGTGACCTAGAAATGGCGTGGGACACTTGCCCACACACACCTCAGGAATCAGCAGCAGCAGGCAGGTCTGGGGACAGCAAATGGGGACCCGCCTCCCCGGCCAAGGCCAGGTCGTGCGGGACGCCACGGTGACACATCCAGCCCACGCTTCCGTTTCTCACTAGGGTTTCTCATTAAATAATAAACGGAATGTCCTGCCGAGTCTGGGGAGGGCAGGGGTAGCAAGAGGCCCTTTGCCCCAGGACTGACCGACTCTGTCCCCGATTGAATTTCCTGAGACGTAGTGAGATTTCCCCGGCACTTTGAAGCTTTGCCACAATTGGGAGTTTTTGCCTTCGCATGTTTAAGATGAAAGCATTTTCCCTGAACCCTGAGACGTGGCAGGAACTGGAGGTGAGGCGGAGGAGGGGGGGTTGGTTCTTATATAAAGCTTTTAAAATTCCTAGAAGGCCTCCACTCTGTCTGCATAAAATTGCGTCGAGAACACAGCAGCTCGCGCTGGGCTGCTTGGAGGGGAGCTTGCCACTTGTTCTCAAGTCTGCAAAATAATGAGTGTCATCCTCCCCTCTCCGGGGTGTCGTGGAGATTTATTATCAAGGGTCGCGAGCGCCCCGCGCCCCGCACAAATTATCCAGCAAGAGGTGGCTGGCGGGGGCCTGGGACTTTGGTGCGGCTCAGCCGGCGGAGGCGTGAGCGGCGATGGGACCGAACAGGGAGAGGCAGGGGCTCCTGGGGGGGGGGCTTGAATCGCGTCCCCTGAAAAGATATGTGGGTGTCCTAACTCCCCCTCCTACCCCCCCACCCTCCGGTCCCCAAGCCCCACCCCCATGGCAGGCAATGTGGCCTGGTTTGGAAGTAGGGTCCCTGCGACTGGGACCAAGATGAGGTTCTGAATCCCGTGACGGAGGAGACACTGGGGGGGGGGGGGGGGGGACAGGTGGGGGGACGGCAGGGGGGGCCCACGCGGCGCCTGCAGGCCACGCGCTGGGAAGGGCTGCGGGCCACCGAGAACCCGGGGCGAGGCGAGGACGGCCCGCCCCCGGCCCCAGGCCTTCGTGGGGAGCGCGGCCCGACTGGCGCCGCCACGCGGCAGAGCCGCGCAAGAGCGCGTTTCCGGGCGCTGCTCCCCCCGGTCCGCAGCCTTCGTTGCACCGTCCCCGCTCAGCCGGGACCCCGAGCGCTGCCGAGGGACGCGGCCCGCGCCCCCTCTCGCCTCCCCCGCCAGAGAGCCCGCCAGGGTCGTGTTCGGGAAAGGACATCATCACAGGAGTCGCCCTGCCTCCCCGCGTTGTGGACGCTCACGCCGAGGCGGGGGCGGGCGTCTCCGGGGTGCCCGAGCGCCACGCCGTGTCTGCCCCCGGCGTCCTGTGGCTGCCTGTCTGCCGCCTCTGCGGCCGCTGGAGCCCGAGGGGCCGGGGCGGGCGGCGCGGCGTTGACCGCGCATTGGCAGGCCCACAGAGGCCCGGGCCGCGCCAGCCTGTGCGGACCGATGGCCGGCCGTGGCTGCGGGGCTCTGGGTCTGGGACGGCGAGGCGGGCATTTCCGCGCCCGGGGACCACTCCTCTGAGGGGCGTGGGAGGGTATTGGGTTTAAGGAGACAATGGAAAAACAATGGGTTATTGTTTTCTCAGAAACACCCTCCCCTGTTCCCCAGGCTCCTTCTCCAAGTGGAGCGTTTTACACGCATCACTTCCTAGGAGCGTTTGAGGCTGGATTGACGGTCTCGGACGATTGAAAACTGTTCGCTCGGCGGAAAAATAACCACACAAGCAGATAAGTGTGTCCTTGATGCCGCAGAAGATTAACTTGGGAATTAAATTTGACAGTAACCCTCCCTCCCGCGACCCCGCACCGAATCCCGCCCCGAAACAAACCCGCGCCGCGCCCGAGGCGGTCGGGCCCCGCGGCCCTGTTTCCAGGGCGGCCCATTCTGCGTCCCCTGAGCGGTGCCCCGCCCACGGCCAGCCGCACGCCCAGGGTCCGGCCATGGGAGGGTCATCGGGTCACTGGTCTCCCAGTCGTCGTCATGCGAACTTGGGCTTCCCGTGCGTGGGCACGGGGTGGGCCCGGGACGGCCCGGGGGTCCCCCTGGCTCCTACTCTCCGTTGATGTGCTCACTTAGAAAGCAAAAGCCACGGTCTCCTTTTAAGGATGATGTCGCTGTGGGGAGTGGGGTGGAGACGGACAACATATAGAGAAGAAAAAATAACCCTTCCATAGACTTGAGGAGCACAGCCGCGCAGGCCGCTCTCGAACCTCGCCATGGGGAAAAACGCCGCCATGAACGCGGGGTGCGTGGGCGCCTTCGAATGAGAGTTTGGAGTTTTTCCAGCTATGTTCCAGCGAAGTGGAACCGGTGGGTCAGGAGGCAGTTCTGCCTTTGATTCCTGAGGTGCCTGCTCTGCACAGCGGCGGCACCGGCCCGCGCCGAGCTCCTTTCCGCCCCGTCCTCGCCGGCGCCTGTCTGTCGTGGACTTATGGATGGCGGCCCTTGGGACGGGGTGAGGTGTGACCTCCCTGTGGGTTAACGTGTATCTCTCTGATGCTTCCTGACGTGGGGCATCTCTTCATGTGCCTGTGGGCCGTCTGCGTGTCCTCTCTGGAGAAGCGTGTACTCGGGTCCGCTGCTGATTCTTTAATCGGATTGCTTGGTTTTCTGGTGTAGAGTTGGATGAGTTCTTTATTCGTTTTGGATGTGAGCCTCTCATGGGATGTATCATGAGGTGACTGGAGAAAGAAGATGTGGTGCGGCCCAGGCCGGGTAGCTCAGCTGGTCGGCACGTCACCACGTGCACCAAAAGGTTCCAGGTTCGATCCCCGGTCGGAGCACATGCAGGAGGCAACCAACCAATGCTGTTTCTCTCTCACGTCATTGTTTCTCCCTCCCTCCTTGCTCCTCTCTCTCTCAGATCAATACACACATCCTTCTGTGAGGATTTTTAGAAACCGAGCGATGTTTATGGAGAATCACACCCCAGATTCTCGCCCAGAAGTCGAGTTTCCCTGACCAAACACATGTATGAGTTAATCGTGAATGGAAGTTTTTGTTTATTTATTGACCTTTTCATTTAGAATTCTCTTTATCGTTCTTTATGGTGGAATTTATTATTTACACCTTCTTGTGACCTGCCACCCCTCCCCCTCCAACAATCACGATCCATAGTTAACGTTCCCAAGATAACAGGGCGGATAGCGGGCTACCCGTGGTGGTAGCTTCTGTGCGGAGCAACCTCTGAGCTCGCTCACCGAGCAGCGGTTTATTGAGGCCGCACTGTGCCAGGTGAGCGCCAGCCTGCTCCGTGAATGAAATCGCAGAGCAAAGAGGCCAGGCCTCGTTCCGAAACCAGCCTCGTCCGTCTTAGGAGAGAAGGCGCGAAAACCTCCACGGGCCGCTCCCTCTCAGTGACCCCGACGTCCCGAGGGCAGGTCCTACGGAGCCCTCGGCACCCAAGCATCGTCTTCACGCAGCTTCTAAAGCCCTTCCGGAGCGCCGCTGCCTGAAGACCCACTGTGTCCGCCAGGTGAGCCGAGCGCGGCCTGCCCTGCCGGACGGCGGCTCTGCCTGCACTTACGTTTTCCTGAGCGGCGGGGAGAGATGCCGCCTACGTGACATTTGTTTCTTCGTCACTTCTCCTCCCTCAGCTCAGGCCTCAGCACCGCGCCAGGGACTTTGACTCTGCTTTGCTGTGCCAGAGCCCGAAGTCACTATCAGGAGCACCTTCAGATTCACGGTGTCCCTTTACTTCCTTCTGGCAGGCGCTCAAAAAGGCAGGATTTATTAGAAAGCCAGGAAAGAGGCGTATTTAATTCCCCCACTGGCACACAGTCAGGCAGCCGTGCCTCCGCACCGTCCTCGTCGCCGCCGACGGACGAGGGGCCGGTGTGTGTACCGCCCCCCCACCCCTGACGAGGGGCCGGTGACTCAGAGGCGGTCATATCAATCACACGCTGCAATCAGACCCAAAATCCACTTACAGATGCGTTCCTGGTGTTATCTCCGCTACAGGCCTGCAGCACATTAGGAGATGCTAAATAACAAATTTTCTACCATGCTGCCTTGTGTCCTGTAGTGGGAAGAAAAACTCGTTTCCGATGCCTACGCAACCCTCGCTGGGCCAGAGCCCAAGTCCCCCGCCCGCACGAAAACTTCTTGAACGTACAAAGGGAAGGGAATTGTTAATGGAATGTCATCGGCCAGAGCCTTGGGTGGGTGCAGATCGGGATGAGAATTAATCTTGGTGTTTTGCTTTATAAATTAATATAAGCGCGCGGAAATGAAATGAGATTTCTCTTTTTGGCCTCCATGTGGATTTTGTCACAGCGCTCACAAAGGTCAGCGTCAGCACGGCCATTTATTTTCTTGAAAAGTGTTCCTTTTGCCTTCCAAGCAGGCACCTGGGAGTGTCCCAGGTTGCGCTTTGCGGGCGCCGCCTGCCCGCGGGGCCCCCCCGAGCCCCTGAATCGGGTCC